GCAGGGAGCCCGATGTGGGACTCGATCCCAGGACCCTGGGATCATGACCTGAGCCGAAGGCAGACGCTTAACCAACTGAGCCACCCAGGCGTCCCTGTATAAGACGTTTTTAAAATACTATTCCTATGTGAAAAAAAATGTAAAACAAAGTAGAATTATTTCACCAACATGATTGGGATGTTAATATATACAATACTTAAACTGGACAAATCACAGACTGAACATAATAAAATTTCTGGACTAAATACAGTGCTTAAATGCACATTATAATTCTGAAAGTTGGTAATAAGAAATAAATACTAACCAGTTCATTTAGATGATGCTGAGTATGTGATATTTGACATGGTGTGATGCAACTAAGAGCAGAAGATGAATTTGGTGGGTTAAAATGAACATGGGCAGTAGTAAGTGGGATGTATGAAAAATCATCCTAAAATAAAATTACATAATACTTATGATACACTATATGCAATATTTTGTTCAAATGTTTATTATAGTAAATACCAAGTAAAAATTACCTCCTCGTCAGAGTCAATGAGGCTTCCCAAATCAAGTCGTGGAACCCTGAAAGAAATAATCTATGCAACTCATAACTTTTTAAAATGAGGCTTTAATAGTTGCAAATCATACATGCTACATCTTATATAAAAAGGTAGACTAGGGACTCCTGGGTGGCTCAGTCGGTTAAGCATCTGCCTTCGGCTCAGGTCATGATCCCAGGGTCCTGGGATCCAGTCCCACATCGTGCTCCTTGCTCAGCGGGGAGCCTGCTTCTCCCTCTCCCTTTGCCTGCTGCTTCTCAAACTCTTGTCCTATCTCAAATAAATAAATAAAATCTTTAAAAAAAAAAAGAGTTTTAGATAGGCCCTTTATTCCTGCCCCAGAAAAAACTCTACTGACAAGCATTTCTTCCAGAATAGTTACAGGAATTAGAGATCACGAACACTAAGAAGCGCTGGTTGTCATTTGTAGAATTTCAGATATATCACCTTCTGGTATTATTTAGTTCCCTACCACATTCCCATGGGAGTAAGAGATAACAGAGCCAGTGGATAAGTAAAATCTAAAAGGAGTACTAAGCAAACACAATGGCATATATATTGGCCCAAAGGGGGATAGCCACTCCAAAAGGAGGATAAAGCCAGCACGACCCTTGAAAAGTGTTGATAATATCCAGGTCTAACCTAGAGAAGGATAAAACAAAGTTTCAGGGTGAAAATTGTAGCATGATACAGTCTAGGGTACTACTGGTGCAATTTATCCAAAATGAGACTGAGGAGAACGTGAATAGAACCAGCTAAGGGTGCCTGGGTGGTTCAGCTGGTTAAGCCTCTGACTCTTGATTTCCACGCAGGTCATGATCTCAGGATCTTGAGATCAAGCCCCGCGTCGGGCTCTGTGCTGGGCATGAAGCCTGCTTAGGAGTCTCTCTCTCCCTCTCCCTCTGCCCCTCCCCTGCCCCCCGCACACACACTCTCTCTCTTTAAAAAAAATAAATAAATAAAATATATTTATATTTATATTTATGTAACATATATATACAAGTTTAAAAAAATAGAACCAGCTACAGGAGAAAGACTAACAAAGACAGAAAAGTAAGCCCTCCTCATAGAATACTGGTCAGAACTTGTGTTCATAACACAAAATAAAACACTAAATATTGTTTGAAGTGTAAATATTGTCCCAAGGAGATAGCTTGGAATAAGAATAGTTACTTAGTTACTCCATAGCATACTAGTAGCCCAAAGTATAAGTTAATTTCCAAGAGACAAATCACATTGTTAAACCAGCAAGATCTGATCTAATACTCTACCATATTTTTTAAATTCCTGGATTTCCTATTAGGATAAACCTGTACTTCACTAATTGTATAAGACATTTTTTTTAAAAATATTTTATTTATTTATTCATGAGAGACAGAGGCAGAGGGAGAAGCAGGCTCCCCGCAGAGCAGGGAGCCCGATGTGGGACTCGATCCCAGGACCCTGGGATCATGACCTGAGCCGAAGGCAGACGCTTAAC